CATCTAGCATCATTTAGTCTCTCCTGCTTGCTTACCATACACATTTTTAATTATTAGCATATTCATGTGCATATGGAGACACACACACACACACACACATATATATATATATATATATGTATATATATATATATATCAGCAAGGGAAGGGGCTCTTTACTCCATTAGTGATAGTATATCATTTGAACACTTGGTTTGCTCTTTTCCTGAAAATCCTTGGGTTATATCTGGACTGCCTAAAACTTCATGTCATTTGCATGACAATCCATCTTTCATTTCCCGTGCCTGGAATGCACTCTCTTCTTACCTTTACCTTAAGGAATGTCCAGCTTCCAGGTTCAGCTCAGGTGCTGCGGCCAGTGTTGATGTGTCCAATGGCCAGTGCCTTCCTTTTGTATTTGTTTATGTCAGTTCATGTCATCTCCTCCCAATAGTGTGTAAAATTCTTGCGACTATTGCGTTTTTGTCTCTGTATCTACAGGACCTGGCACAGTGCTTGGCACAAAATAAATACTAATTAGTGTTTTTCTAATGAATTTTTACACTTATACATGATGCAATGTACTTATCTGTGTTTGCATCTTATCTTTTTACTAGACTTGTGAGCTCCACAAGGGCAATAACAAACCTTATCAAAATTTTGTGAATATGAAGAGTAGTAATTTAACAGGAGTTTGTTGGGGAAAAAAAGAATTACATAGATTCCTACAGTTCTAAGCATCCTATGATCCTGTACCCCAACCCAAACATAAACAAACTCTGTCGGGGATACTAAGTCATTAGAATGTGAGCATCTTGAAGGCAGGGACTGCTATTTTGCTTTTCTTTATATCCTCATCACTTATTACAGTGCCTGGCACACAGTAGACAATAATTCCTTAATGATATTGATACCATCTAACCCTAAAGTCAGCACTAACAGTAATGTCATCCCTAATTCTTACTCAAATCTGGGTCAAGAAAACCCCAGAGCAAGTTAAGGAAGTACCCAGGATATTTAATAATTGTGCAGTTTCATCCCAGGGTACAATATTGATCACACTGCAAATTTTTAATAAATATTTGTTGATTAATTAGTTGACTGATGTTCCCATTTAAAAAGGGTACTATTAGCCTCTTGTTCTTAGATAGTAGTTGTTTCTGAAGCTCTGAATGTACAGGGCTAAGGGACCTCAATAAATCAGAGAAAAACTATCAAAGAGCACCCTTTCACTCTTTCTTCACTACCTAGGGCACTTTTGCCCCTTTGGTACTTTTTTTTTTTTTGCTTTTTGGTGAGGTGATTGGGGTTAAGTGACTTGCCCAAGGGTTACACAGCTAGTAAGTGTTAAGTGTCTGAGGCTGGATTTGAACTCAGATCTTCCTGACTCCAAGGCCAGAGCTCTATTCACTGCGCCACCTAGCTGCCCTTTGGGTACTTTTTTGTTCCATTGTTCTAGGCCTCATACTCTGGGTCTGTTCTTCCTTGTACAGTGTTCCTTCCTCTGAACCCTCTTTTAGCCTTCTCAGAACTAGTTCTCAGAGAGTTCTCTTTTGGAAAAGGGCAAGTAAGTTTATGATTGATAATAGCTTCATCTATTCATCTCTCAAGAGATTTTCATTTTACTCAGGAACAATTATTATTAAAGGAATGATTATAAAATTAGAATTTCAGTGTGTTAGGTCTGAAGAGGCCTCAAACCACAGCCCATTCTAACTATAGTAAGCCCTACCTCCTTCCAATCACCATATTAGAGATGAGGCAACTAGGGTTCAGAGTTAAGTGATCTGTCAAAGATTACACAATTTGTTTAGTAGAAGAGATGGAAATCAAATCTAGGTCCCTTTGTAGTCCAGTGGTCTTCTTACTACAGCATAGTATTTCCCTAGCCCTCCTCATTTTACTCTTCTAAAACTGGCCAAAGCTTAACCCTCTGTTGTTCTTTAGTTGGTAACAAGTGAGTAGAAGGACATAGGTAGGGGTCAGAACTATAAAGGAGTCAGATTTCTTCTAGTGCAGTTCTTAAGGGCACAACTAGAATCAGCACATAAAAGTTATCAAAGTGGTCAAGTTTAGCTCAGTAGAAGACTTTCTAACAATTGGAATTATCTAACAATGGCTTTGGTTGCTTTGAAAGCCAGAGAGTTCCCCATTATTAGAGCTCTTTTTTTCAGAGACTGATTGGCAGAATTGGGAATTCTTTGGAAGGGATTCTTGTATCATGTAAGGGTTGGACTGGAATGAACCCCCCTACAGAGGCACCCAAGCATCTATACACCAGACTCAGGCACTGCTTTCTGCAAATACGTTCTTGAGTTGAAAGATGTTCATGGTAAAGATGGTGGAGAAGATTTGAATTGGCAAGGAGGGAAAAGGTGAAGAAAAGGAGATGACGTTTTGGGGAAGAGAATTTGGCAGCAGGCAGCAGGATTATTAATACAATGAAACGAAAATACAGCAAACCTTGTTATAACATGGCTCATTATTATACAGATTTGGATAGGTCACAGATAAAATTAGTTTTCCCCAAGCACAGCAATAGTATATTATAAAAGCTGATATAACAGAGTAGAACACTGATGCTAATCCTGCCCCCTGTCTTCAAGATTACAAAGGAGGTGAATTGTAAGTGGAATTTTTTTCTTTCTTAAATATAACACTATCTTTCAGTTACTTCTTATTTTTCAGAAATTCGCTGTTCATCATTCAATAAGTTGAGATCCTTGGCTAGCAGTCACTAGGCTGTTCTTCCTCAGAGTGAACCTGTAGACCCCATAGCTCACAGTCATATGCTTTTGTCCTTTGTCCTCACATATGAAGTGAGAAGGTACAATTTAGAAGTAGTGGAAGACTGGACAGCTGGAGGCCTTGGGATACATGTAAATCAAATTGTTCAGAGAAAATTATCTACACGACTATCCACTTAAATAGAAGTTGCACCAGACCCTGTGCAGGTCACATGGGGTTACCAGATCACAGAGTATCAGCAGAGGCTTGCCAATGACACAGAGGAGAGTAGCCCTCTGCCTGTGGCATGAAATTCCTTCCCATCCTTGTGTCTCTTGGAGGGGCCCAGAGCGGAGCTGGCATTTGTATTTGCAAATGCAAACAGTGCCTTTGCATTTGCTGCTGCAAATAGACTAAAGAAAGCATAGGCATCATATAAATTGGGAGGGACTTAAGCAATCCAATACTCTCATTTTGCAGATAAATAATTAGCCTAAGATCATTCAGGTAGCAAGGAGGTAGAGGCAGATTTTGAACTTAGACCCTCTGATTTATTTGAGTGCTCCTTCTGTACCATTGTGGTCTGCTGAAACTAGTTAAAGAGAAATTGCTTAGGATTGGGACATTTTCAGAGATAAATAAGATCATATCTTGATAGAGCTCAAATACTGATAAAACCTAGCAGAGCTAGTTGCCATCCAAGACTGATAGGTAAGAATCATTACTTTGTTTTGTGACCTTGGTCAATTTACTTTATTTTTCTGGTCCTCATCTTTAGAATTAGGGAGGTGGCTTCGCTCTAATATTCTGTAATTCTTGTCCCACCTAATCACCAGATTTCTCGCAGGTGAGAGAAAATCTCCAGAGGGAACCACTGGCGGTAGAGTGGAAACCTCACTCTCATGGGTTAACCTTGGCTTCTGTTTATCAAGCTTCTGTGGTGCTTAGGAAGTCAAGAGAGAAGTACAAGCATCTGAGGGTGATTCTTTCTCATGGCTCTGTATTGAAGAGGGTGGAAAGTGTATCTAGAATAATATACTATCCACAAACCTCTATAAAGAATTTGGAGAAACAAGCCTCCAGTTCCTTCATCAGCAATCTAGGAAAAAAGTAAAAGGCACTTGGAGAACTAATCATGGCAAGCAGACATATATTAAAGGCCCTGTGGAGAAAGGTTACTAGGACATTTTTGGAGGAAGGGCATGGAGGGGATGATACAGGAAAGACATACGTGTAACACAATGAAGGGCCTAGTTTTGTTGACTCCTGAGCCAGAGCTGCCACAAATAGCTTCCAAGTCCCTTCTGGATGAGAATTTCTCATTTCAGAGAGATGCAACTATTGATAAAACTTCAGGAGGTACCACTTTCTATGAATCAGCAGATTCTTCTCGTATGGCATTTTATCATTTTTTTTTTTTTACTTTTGACAGAATTGCAAAGAAAATTGATACCACAGGTGCCTAGCTCAGGTCTGGGATCTGGTTCTCTTCCTAGAATGGTTTGGAGTGTTAGGATATTATACATTTGTTGGTAGATCACAGAATAATTGCTTATTGAATGCAGAAGGAAAAGAAAAAAAAAGTCAGGTAGTCAAGAAAGAACTGGTGACCCCAGCACAAATACTCTGAGGTCTGTGGGTACTATCTAAACTGTTCTTGTCAGTGACCTATTTGTCTCATGAATTTACCAATATAATTATACATCCATTCTCCCCTCCCCCTTTTAATCTTTGGAATGTTTGAAGATGTCACTGGTAACAAAACCAGTCTGGTCTACTGGAAGTAACTCGATGTCTCAATTCAAGTCTGAAAGATGTGCTGCCTAGTCCCCTCCTCCATCTCGATGTCCAAGTTCAAAGGCCTAGACAAAGGTTTTATCTATCCCACTCTGGCAATCAGGTAAGTAAAAGAAGCTTCTTCTTGAAGTTCAGTTTGCTCTAGCATATGGCTCAAGAGAGAGAAGGTTATTGAGATGAAGTACATAAAAGGGGCAATGGGTAAAGGTGATAAGAGGTGGTGCTTGCTGTTAGGAAGTGTTTCAAGCATCAATGATAATAATAGAAAGACTAAATAGACAATACTTGGGACATAACCCAGCAAAGCTTGGCTTCTCAATCTATGTGGTTCCAAACTGGGAGTCCTGTGAAGGAATGAAAATTCTTTCTTCCTCATAAAAGTGAGCAAAGACTTTTACTGGATCTGTTTTCTTTACGCATCTCACCATGCAGATGGAGGCATTGGATGCTGGTCATTAGACTACATTCCCCCAACCAAGGTGAAGATGAGGCTATCGTCAGCGATTCAGGAAAAAGGATTTGAGGCTTTGAAAGAAAACTGACTTTTGTCGCTGCTTCAGTTTTTTTTTAATTATGGGTACCCACACCAGTCCACACACCAGAAGCATGAGTCCTAGGGAAAGAAAGGCTGGCCCACTCATCTGATAACCAACAAAGACACTTGAGTTGATATGTAAATCCAGAGTGTATGACAAGCAAGTGATGACCACACCGAAGAGGAAGATAGCCCCACCTGTAGACATGATGATGATGGGCTTACGGAAGATTTCCCAATTATTCTTGCTTCCAGCTGTCCAGACTGATTCACTCCGGGAGCTAATGCAGAGAGAACTGGCTGTCTGACTGGGCAATAAGTCTTTAGACTCTGGAGACTTCTCATCTGCATTTAGGGCACTGGGGAGAGTTTCCATTGCCACAGACTGTGTACTTAGTACCTATGAGGGTTAAAAACAAAGATGTTAAGTGAATGGCAAAAAATCCAGTTCTTCAGATAAACTAATCCAGAGCTCCAGGATGTTATTAAACAGTCAATTAAAAAAAATTTATTAATCACCTATTTTGTCCCAGGTCCTGGGCCAGTTCCTGGGATACAAAGACAGAAGCAAAACAGCCCCTGCCTTCAAGTTTAGATTCTAACAGCAGAGGCAACATGTACATATAGATAACCTTAGTGAGGAAAAAGGCGCTAGTAGATTGGTAGGTGAACCAGAAAGGCCTCATACATATGGTGGCATTTACTCGTAAGTCTTGGAGGAAACCAGAGATTTCAAGATGTGGAGGTGAGTTAAGGAGGCAGAGCATTTAAGGCACTGGGCAGTGTGTGGAGATGGCAGATGGAGTGTTAAGTTTGGAGAATGGAAATAAGGCCAGTATGGCCTGATTATCACATGCATGGAGGAAAGTAAATGCAGCTGGAAAAGTGGGATGAGACCAGGTTGTGAAGAGCTTTAAATGCCAGGAGTTTATATTAGATCTTCAAGGTAGGGAGTAAATGGGAGTTTGTGGAGTGTGGGAGGGTGACGTAGTCAGATCTCTGTTTTGGGATGATTACATTAGTGACTGTGTGAAGGATAGATTGTAGTGGAGAGAATTGAGGTAAGGGGGGCAATTAGGAGGTTATTGCAGGTGTCTGAACTAGAGTGGACTTTATTTTTTTGTAATAAATTCTATTTATAACATTGATTTAAAAAGTTTTTCGAATTCTTAATTCTCTTCCTCCCCTCCCTCACCCATTGAAAAGGGAAGAAATGTGATAACAATTATACATGTAAAATATTTTCATATTAGCCATGTTTGCAAAAATTAATAAATAGAATAAATAAACCCCCAAAACCAGAAAAGCAAGAAAATTAAAGAAGGGGAAAAATTATACTTCAATCTGCACTCAGACTCCATTAGTTCTCTCTCTGGAGGTATACAGCATTTTTTATCATGGGTCCTTTGGAATTGTCTTAGATCGTTCCATTAATCAGAAGTGAAGTCATTCACAGTTGATCATCATACAAAATTGCTGTTACTGTGTACAACGTTCTCCAAGTTCTGCTCACCTCACTCTATATCAGTTCGTGCAAATCTTCCCAGGTTTTTCTGAAACCATCCTGCTTGTCATTTTTTTTTAAGGTAATTGGGGTTAAGTGACTCGTGGTCCTCTTGACTTCAGGGCCGGTGCTCTATCCACTACACCACCTAGCTGCCCCTCTGCTTGTCATTTCTCGTAGCACAATAGTATTCCATCACAATCATGTACCACAACTTGTTCAGCCATTCCTCAATTGATGCCATCCCCTCAATTTCCAATTCTTTGCCACCACAAAAAGAACTGCTATAAATATTTTGGTATATTGAGGTCCTTTTCCTTTTCCTTTGATGTCTTTGGGATACAGACCTACACAATTTTAATGCTCTCTGGGCATAGTTCCAAATTTTTCTCAAGAATGGTTGGAGCAGTTCACAACTTCAACAACAGTGAATTAGTGCCCTATTTTTTCCACATCCCCTCCAGCATTTATCATTTTCCTTTTCTGTCATGGTAGCCAGTCTGATAGGTATGAAGTAGTATCTCAAAGTTATTTTAATTTGCATTTCTCTGATCAACAGTGATTTAGAGCATTTTTATATGATTATAAATTTTGATTTCTTCTTCTGAAGACTCTCTGTTCATATCTTTTGGCCGCTTATTAATTAAGGAATGACTTGCATTTTTATGAATTTGTCTCAGTTCCCTATCTATTTAAGAAACAAGGCATTTATCAGAGAAGCTTGCTGTAAATCCCCCACCCCCATTTTCCAGCTTTCCTTCTAATCTCGGCTGCACTGGGTTTTGTTTGTGCAAAACCTTTTTTTAATTTAATGTAATCCAAATTATCTTTTTTACTTCCTGTGGTCTTCTCTATCTTTTGTTTGGCCAAAAACTCTTCCCTTACCCATAGATCTAATAGGTAATTTTTTCATGTTCCCATAATCCACTTATGATATCATCCTTTATGTTAAATCATATGCCCATTTTGACCTTATCTTGGTATATGGTATGAGATGTTTGTCTATACCTAGTTTCTGCCAAACTGCTTTCCAGTTCTCCCAACAATTTTTGTCAAATAGCAACTTTTTGTCCCAATAGCTTAGATCTTTGAGTTTATCAAATATTACATTACTATGATTATTTACTACTGTGTATTGTGTACTTAATTTATTCCACTGACCCATCACACTATGTCTTAGCCAATACCAGGTTGTTTTCATGATTATTACAATACAGTTTGAAATCTGGTACTGCTAGGCTGCTTTCCTTCACGTGTTTTCATTGATTCCCTTGATATTCTTGATATTTTGTTCTTTCAGATGAATTTTGTTATTATTTTTCTAGCTTAATAAAATAATTCTTTGGTAGTTTGATATGGCACTGAATAAATAAATATAGATAGAATTGTCATTTTCTTACTTTGGTGTGGCATATCCATGAGCAACAATTATTTTTCCAGCTGTTTAGATCTATCTTTATTTGTGTGAAAACTGTTTTGTAGTTGTGTTCATATGGTTCCTGGGTTTGTCTTGGGGGGTAGACTGCCAAATATTTTATATTGTCTGCAGTTATCTTAAATGGCATTTCTCTTTCTATCTCTTCCTGCTGGATGTTGTAAGTAATATGTAGAAATGCTAATGATTTATGTGCATTTATTTTATATCCTGAAACTTTGTTAAAGTTCTTAGGATGATGAGTGTAGAGAAGAGGACATATTGTGAGGGATTTTTTGGAGGCAGAAAAGATAACTGATTGGATATAATGAATGAGTAAGGGTAAGCAGAAAGAATGATACCAAGGTTTTAAAGCTGAGTGACTGGAAGGATGTTTATACTTTTGACAGAAATAAAGAAGTTCTGTAGAGAGGTGGTTTTGGAGAAGGGGAGAAATGGAGATAATGAGTTCTGTTTTTGGATGTTTGAGTTTGAATTTGAGATGATTGTGGGAATGTCCAGTTGGCATTTGGTAATACAAGATGAGAGAGAGAAGGAAGACAGACAGACAAACACAAAGAGACAGAAAGAGAGAGACACAGAGAGGACCAGAGGACCAGATATATAAATCTGAGATTCATCAGCATGGAGAAGCTAATTGATCCCACAAAAGGTTGTGGGATCACTAAATAATAATAATAATAGTATTTACATAGTTCTTTAAGGTCTGCAAAGTGCTTTACAAATATCTCATTTTATCCTCACAACAACTCTGGGAGATAAGTGCTATTATTATTGTCATTTTAGAAATGGGGAAACTGAGTCAGACAGAGGTTAAGTGACTTGCCCAAGGTCACACAGCTAGTAAGTGTAATGAAACTGAGGTCTCCCTGACTCCAAGCCCAGCACTCTATCCACTGAACCACTTAAATGAGAAAGCATATGGCCACAGTTAGTAAGTGTTACATGAAACAGGTATTGAAGACTGATGGAAGAATTAATCAAGAGCCATCTAACCAAGAAAAGGAATATTCTAGTGGAGAAAGGAGGAAAAAGGGTGTGGGGGGTAGAACTTGTTTTATTTCTCATAATTGGAATGCATGAGAAGAGTATACAAACATGGAGGAAAAGGTGGGTGGAATAGGCATCAAGTGAACCTCATTGTAATCTGAGCTGAACAATGGCGAATAGAACGCGCGCACACACACACACACACACACACACACACACACCCCACACACACTCTTTGGTTTAGAAACACCTCAAACTCTACAGTGATACAACTAGGGAGAGGGGAAGCTAATACTATAGAGGAAATAGTTTCAAGCAAAACCAACTTCCTGATCCTGAAGGGAGGATTAAAAGGAAACATAAATGGGTTTCCAACCAATCCTGGGGTTTTTGTGTGCTGTGGTATATGCATTAAGGAGATATGATTCTGCATTGGTGGTTAACATGCTGAGTGTGAGGAAATGCTGTGCGTCAGGATATGGTACTTATAGGTTTGGTACCAGAGCACCTTCAGGGAAATATCTGGTTCCAGAGATTCTGTGAGAGAAGTATGGAGAAAAAAGCAGCACTGATGGATAGCAGTAGCTGGATCCTCATCATGTGCAACTTTCCGTCTTTGATCTTGCTAGAATGGACATCCTTGGTTGAGATCAGGCCCCCTGCCTTGGTTTGAGCTGAGACATTATTTCCTTCCCACCTAAAGAACTAGTTCACTTTTGTATATTTTCTGTTGTATTTTAATCTGTTGGACTTCTTCCATTTATTGATTTTCTTGGCTAAATGAGTTTACTTGCTATTTGTTATTTGTGATGGTCTTTTATGGGATGAGTGTTGGCTGGAAAAGTGCTAAACAAGAGAGTATAAGCTAAGGGCTTTTCTCCCCTTACAAACAACCAGAAATGTAGCTTTGTTCTGGACTCAGATTCATACCTCTAGACCAATAGAGGAAGAGCAGACATAATTCAAGGTCAATACTCCTTTCAAAGACTGAAGACAAGAGTGCCTAGTCTCATGGTGTTCCTGGGGTCTATCTGACCCTATCTTCTTCCCTTTTCACTTGGCTTCCTCCATGCCTGGAATTCACTTCATCCTTAATCTGCTTCATAGAATGCCTGTTTTTCTTCCAGATGAAGATCAAGCACCACCTTCTACTTGAAACCTTTCCTCATCTCCCCAAGTGTTAATGCCATTTCTACCTAACTAGCTTGTATTTAACTTTTGTTGTCATTGTTATTGTTCACTTGTTTCAGTTATGTCTGACTCTTCATGCTCCCATTTGGGGTTTTCTTGGCAAAGATACTGAAGTGGTTTGCCATTTCCTACTCCAGCTCATTTTACAGATGAGGAAACTGAGGCAAACAGGGTTAAGTGACTTGCCTAGGGTCTCACAGCTAGGAAATATCTAAGGCTAGATTTGAACCCAAGAAGATGTCTTCCTGACTGCAAACCCAGCACTCTACCCACTGTGCCA